AATTACGTGTGCCTGCGTGCACCGTAGGACCAACGACCCGTAGGACCAACGACCCGTAGGACCAGCGACCCGTAGGACCAACGACCCGTATGACCAGCGACCCGTAGGACCAACGACCCGTAGGACCAGCGACCCGTAGGACCAACGACCCGTAGGACCAACGACCCGTAGGACTAAAGAACTGTAATCTACTGGACGGTGAGACAGTGGAGAAGATAGATTAGGATGCTGAGGAGGGGTAGAAGATCGAAGAGTAGGATGGGGTTGAGGAGGAACAGAAGGTGGACAAGCTAGAAGAGGGACAGGCAGTACGTGGGTGGGGTAGAACAGAAGTAGATGGAGGACAGGAGAGAAGCGAGGGGTAGCAGAGAAGGGGATAAGGTAGAATAGTAGTATGGCTTATAGGGTCTATGTCCCCCAGGGTACTGCCAGAACGTACCCTGGGTACGGTCTGGTATACCGGAACGTACCCTGATAACTATCTGATATGGTTAGGGTTAGGGTTAGGGTTAGGGTTAAGGAGTAGGCGACTCCCTAGACTCGTTAGTGGAGTAGACGAGGTACGGTCCGGCATATTAGATAGTACCAGGGTACGTTCCAGTATACCGGACCGTACCCAGAGTACGTTCCGGCAGTACCCTGGGGGACATAGACCCTCTCAGCAGTAGTATGGGAGAATATAGTTTTAAAGAAGATATGTCAGAAGGGGATGAGGCAGAAGAGGCTAATTAAGGATGTAGAGAAGAGGGAGACGGTAGAGAGGAGTTGGTCGAAGGGAAGAAATAGCAGAGGATAAGGAAGTAGAAGAGGGCAGATGGTACGACAGAGTGTGGCAGAAGTAAAGAAGGTAGACCAAGTAGATAGGAAGAGACAGAGGACTTCGCCTACTCCTTCATGATCATTCACGTACTAGAACCAGTGATTCTACTTGGCAAGTACTGACACTTTCACTGCGTTACCCAGAGATGGTACATAAAAATGGAGTTGGTTGGATGTCTGGAAATTTAAATTAGACATTGTTGAATAGATTGCACCACTCACAAAAATTAAACCTGCTGAGGACATTAACGTTTGACCTAATTCTGTTCAATTACACAAAAAGTGCAGGCTTTTACAGTACGCAATGTTGTAAAATGTGTTCCTCATTTTTTATCTGCCAAAAACCAAATATTATAACTTAATTATCTGTGGTGTGTATCAATGTGGAAATTTGAACTAAAATTTAACAAAAAATGTTCAGTAGTCACTTTAATTATATTATACACCACAAAAATACAAAGATACACTGTTGGCCATAAAACGCAATAACATTAAATTATGTAGTGTATGTACTGTAGATACCACAAAGCACAGGTCTTGCCCCAATCAGCCTTGCTGACCAAGATTCCAGACTATAGTGTCATCTTTGAGTGATCCGAAAACTGTGAGATGTTGATGGCTGTCAGAACGACAGCTGAAACTGTCAAGGTAAATAATTTATGGATTGAACCATGAACAATGAAGATATTAATATAGTGTCATACATACGAACACAACACGAACATGATAGATTCATTACAGATCTTATACTAACTCTAAAAACACATATCTGATGCCAACAACGAAGTGGCTACAGATACAGCGCTGTACACAAACAACCACTTGAGCAGTCTGTGAAGTGCACTAGCAATAACTTTCATTCAACCACAGAAATAGTATACATTCCGTGACCAAAAACAAATATAACATAAAGACATAAAATTTAATTTAAAAAGTTTTTTTTTACTGTGAGTCACAGTGACTGTCCCACACACATAAGTGCAAAAAATGCTAGCTAGGAGACATGCCTAATGCAGATTGGGCACATTCTCAATTGTCATGCCCTTCCACTGCCCACTGTTGTTAAGTGTTACATTACTCGTTTAATGTATCTTTGGAATTTTTGGATCTCACAATCACAATCGTAAATGGAATGGATCTGTATTGTTGACAAATAAATAATCTCAACGTACAACAACACGAATTACGACCATTTAATCGACAATTTCTTAAATAATGCAACCAACTCTGAAATGAATACAACCTCATCTCATTCATGTTTACCCATTCCGGCTGAGACTACTGCAAAATTCTTGATTCTAGAACAAAGATAGTGCAGGAGGGAAAGCAGGCCAGTTCACCTGGAAATCAGTTGCAGATATAAAATATTACTCATTAAAACATTTAGCCTGTGGCTAATCTGAGCCATGGCATTTAACCTGTAACCTGCATGAGTCTCAGTTTGTGCTTAGCAAATTGTTTAGTCTGAGCTCGTGCGATGGGAACGTGACCTCCCACGCTAAGCACCCTGCTCAAGGTTAAGCATCTGACGAAAAGCATTAACGACACGAACGACTAGACGCGTGCACACAATACATCGACCACCACGCGTTCACGTGCCATCCGCAGCGATTTAATTCGCGTGTCGCGCGTAGACGGTTGCGGCGATCGCGAGTTCACCTACAGAAGTGCGTGATGCCAGATGCGAGCTTCTGACGCTTGCGACCCTGCATCTCTCCGAAGAACGCACGAATGTCGTCCGCCTGCACGACCTTTCCCGTGTCGGCGAATCGCTTGAGATAGTCCGTCAGCTCGCTCTTCATGTCATCATACCCGCGAATCATCTCAACCTGCAGAGATAAATAAACTCGCGTTTAACGAAGAATTTTAACGATGTTGTTCGGATTGCCTGCGGAGCTTTACTCGGTGCTCGAGGATGTTAACGCAGAGAGGGAATCACCCGCGAATCGTTCCCACCCGACATTATGCGTGCATTTATGAAATTACTATTGAATTAAATACTTATTTAATTAATTTTACTTTTTATGTTATTTTAATACGGTAAGATTATGCACAGCAATTTACCCAGTGCTTGTGGATACTGATATTGGCAGCGATTGGTGAGACAGGATACACATTATTGCACCAACTTGATCCAGAGTGTGAGTAAAGCCATAGCTATAGTCGAGTCAGTGTTGGAAATAGCAGCTTGTTCCCCAGTTGGGGACAGGTATTCTCTGAACAGGAGTGGCTAATTTTTATGTATTTTACTATAGGTTATATGACTGGCAAATTTTTATGTAATTTACTATAGGTAATATGACTGGCTAATTTTTATGTATTTTACTATAGGTTATATGACTGGCTAATTTTTATGTATTTTACTATAGGTTGCATAATAGATATGAAAACGTTTGAAATCAAGACTGGCTGGATTTTCACACTATTTTTTACCAAATTTGGCTGAGTGCCCAGGAGCACGTGTGCATTATGTGAGCAACTCTCCAACGGCATCGCAAACGAGGCGATTTCAAATCAATTCAATCGTCAACTCATCTCATTCGATTCGTTACGTGACCAACCTGCTGTATCCTGTTCATGCTGGAGAGTGCGGCCATGCCCTGCTCATACTGAGACGCGCCGTTCGAGCCTCCCTTGCCTCGCCTCTCGTACTCCGTTATCGTGTCTGCCTCGTCAAGCAAGAACGCGACGTCCAGCTCATCGTATAGATGGCAGCATGAGTCGCACCGGCACAGTTTCTCTCGCCAGCCCTCCGGCCAAAAGGTGGCGCCACTCTGCGGCTCTACTTTATCCTCAGTCAGCGCCTTGAGTCGGCAGGTGCCTGATGAATTGAAGGAATAACATGTCCTAGCAAGCACACAGATTAAGCCAGGTTCCATGCGTAATATAAAAATGTGTATATATAATATATATATATTGATATAATTACACTCACGCATGCATACACGTGCATATGCATACACACACGCACATTCACATGCGCATATATTGGCATCAGTAAAGATGTGACGCAAAATTGTTCAGAGAAAATAAATTATGAAGCTGGATTATGGATGACTCATCGTTGAAAATTGATGCCACAGCATGCGAAATTGCTTTATACTTGAAATACCTGCAGGGACTTCCGTACTACTCGTCTCTACGGCAGGCTGCTCTGTTTTTCCAGCTGTCTCCGACAAACCTTCATCACCAGCAGTCGCTGCAGATGCTTCGAATTTCACTTGAGTAGCAGATGCTTCGAATTTCACTTGAGTAGCAGAGGCCTCCGAGTCGGGCCCCGCGTCTCCTACGGCTTCGACCGAGCACGCGTCTGGTTTAGACAAATCCGGGCGCCAACATTTCTCATCGCCGGCTTCCCCGGGAGGTTTCTCCTCTTCCCGAAGCCCTTCGGTCGTCTTCCTGCCCTCGCTCTCCTCCGCAGCTTCCCCCGCTGCCACCGCCGTCGCCGTATCGTGGCTCTCCACATCCGACTCGTGTGCATCACGGCCCTCGTCGGCTTCGGCGGGAGGTTTCTCCTCTTCCCGAAGCCCTTCGATCGTTTTCCTCTCGTTTTTCTTGCTCTCCGCCGCAGCTACCCCCACCGCCGCTTCCGCCACCGCCTCCACGGCCGCCTCTGCCGCCGCCTCCGCTGTCACTTCTGCCGTCGCCGCCGCCGCAGTTGTATCGTGGCTCTCCACGTCCACCGGCGCCGAATCGTCTGTGTCCGCGCATGCAAACCGCGACGCGTATGCGCGCAGGAACGCGAAGCAGTCCATGCACGCGCCACACACCATCTCGGCGAACGCGCCGCCGTCGGGCACAACCGCCTCCCCCAGGTGGCGCCCGTGGTGCCAGTCCTCGCAGACGACGCACTGGATCATCTCGTCGTCGACGGCGTCGTCCGGGTCCGGGTACGGCCGCTCGCAGACGCAGTAGACCCCACGGAAGTTGTGGCCGTAGCGGTTGCCCGGGTTCGCGGCGGCCTTGTCCGGGAACAGGCGGCAGCGCAGCGTCGGGAAGCGGCCGTTGCCGCAGTCGCAGCGGAAGTTGCGCTTCGTGTAGAGCTCGTAGAGGTCGTGTCCGTCGTGGCACTCGAGGCTGCAGGCGAGGCAGATGCCGGCCGGCGACATGTCGGGCGTCACGCACGTGCCGCACGCGTACAGCGCCTGCCGCTTCACGTAGGCTGCGTGAGGAAAAGAAGGGATGAGGTTGCAGCAATTACAACGGGTCGTCAGTGCTATCGGGAACGTGTATCTATACTAGTATCTAGCGCGCACGTATGCTTGCCACTTCACCTAAGCTGCGTGAGGAAAATGACGACGTTGGATCAAGCGATCACGACCAACAGGGGAGTCGTCGGTGCTATCGTGAACGTGTATCTAGCGCAGACGTATGCTTGCCACTTCACGTAAGCTGCACGAGGAAAAGGATGACGTTGCAGCTGCGATCACAGTTAACGGGTCGTCGGTGCTATCGTGAACGTGTGGTAATTATGTGCAGATGTATTGAGTGGGTGTACTGATCAGTGATTATCACCATACATAAATCTTATTTATGAATTATGATCATGCAATAGTTTCTTTCCCATCTGACACGCTGAAGCCAGTAGCAGCGGACCGACGACGTTGGAGATCTCTTGTCACTGCCTTATGTGCCATCTAGGCACATACGAGGGATAACTATTACTATTACTAATAGTTTCTTTGTACTAGAGCTTAAAATTTACAATATTCATAGACATATAACCATAAAATGTGGCCGCCAAACCATAGCAACTCACTGCCAACCTGCCATGATTGCATTTCAATGCGAGATTGTCACCAGCTAGTAGCACAGACCCTAACTATGAAGAAATTCTTCTGCAGACCTACAAGATCTAGTTAGGTATCTCGTTCGGGGATACGTATTGGTAATCTTCCCAGTCTCATTAGCAATTAATTCTCATAAATATTATTCTGGAATACGATAAAATGCAGTGCTCGAAATAAGCGTTGTCCGGTTGTCCGAGACAACCAGATTTGCGCCGGACAACTAACCAGTCTGAGACAGTGTGCCGGTGGACAACCAACAAAAAATGTGACAAAAAAACGACACATTATTGATATTTTTCTGACGACGCGAATTGAGTTTCTTTTCGGCTGTGATCGGCCTGCATTGCCGTCCATCAGGCTAGTGTTGTTTCGGCGAGCTATGGTTCAGCAATGATGCGTAATATGGGTGCTTTGGACAATAAAGTAGCGTATCACAACAAATTTGACTGTGTGGACAGGTTTCATCGGCGAGTAAAACAGTAACACTTATTGATCACATACAAACGCTTTTTTCTAGAAGAAACAAATGACTTGTTGCTGGTAGATTTGTGTGGGCAGGTTGTGATTGTATATCGAATTCTGGCCTGAGAGGTAAACATTGACGTAACTGGATCGCGAGTGGGTGTCAACGATAATAGAGGTATTCCTATAGCTACGCCATGGTCAACCATTAAACTTATTAAAAATAAAATGAACAAGAGCCGCACGCCGTCTGGGCTCATCTGGGGCTCTGTTTCTAATTCACGGTTATGAAGCCGTAACAATTTCAGTCTGGCGTAGTGACACATTTGTTAGGCCAGCAGATATGCAGATACGGCGCTTGCGTACGACATCGATTGTCATGGGACACACGCTCACCTAATGCTCACCCCCATAGCGATTTTCGTTTATTTTTAGTTAATGATACTTGCCTTTCACTTCGATTTGTGTCATAGATTCACAGCTATCATTTTTACTCTAATGCTTAAAAGATTCAACATATGACGGCATGGATCTCCAAGTGTTATAATTAGATGGGCGCGGGGAGTCCTTCCCTGCGCCACCTCACCTCCCTCACTGCGTCCCACTTTCACTCCTCTTGCCTGCTCACTTCCACCCCTTACCCGCCAGCTCCCTCCCCCTGCCTTCGACCTCCTCCCCCTGCCCTCCCACGCTCCCATCAGCCCTGCAACATACGATCTCGCACTGACCTAATTGTACCCGTTTCCCGCGTCGCATACAACAGCACCGTATCACCCGTTTTCCCCTGTCCCGGCCGTTCTCAATTTAAACTACTCTCTTCTCTCTACTCTTATCTTAGACTTCTTCTCTCTCTCTCTCTTATTATATAAAAAAAATTAAAAACCCAGTGATGATGCTTTTTACTGTCCTCCAATAATGCTTTCTTTCCTATGCCCCTGAGTTAACAGTCATGAGAAATCAATAATATATTAGTCGTCTCTAATATTTCTATGGTAAGAGCTTTATGTTCGCACAACTGGTAAATTGGATACCACGGCCATAGCTACATGATATAATGTAAGATTCCAAGATGAAAAGTAAATATTATATATTAATATTGCGGTACTAGTTTATGTATTTATTCGTTACAAAGTTAGCATGAAGAATAAAATCTAATTTAAACTAGGCCGATAGTTTGCCGCGAGAAGGCCGTGCCAAGTGTAATCAATAATCAAAGATGGCATCGTTCCTAGAAATCCTAACGTAGGTAGCAGGCTAAAATCGCAAGTAATGTATATTCAGCGCAGCGACTAATTTTTGCCTCGGCTGTTGAGTTAACAAGGTGCATTGTGCAGGTTGGCAGAGCAACAATTATGATTAGAAGCATCCAGCCAGTTGGGCTGCCTGTTGTTTTGGCCTCATGCGAGCATTTCACTGATTCATCATTCAGACCTTCAGGCCGCAGGGGCAGGGGTGCTATAGACCAGACTGCTTTAGAAATCATATGATTTAAGGAGCGTAAATCCCTTGTTCAACAAACATTTGCCTTTGCATAATTAAACATGTGCAACTGTAGGCCTCACATTTGACACTAGGTTATGAGCTCTAATAATAGCAAAAGCATGTTCAGTCTTTTGTTAACAGTCAACAAATCAATGTTTAACGTCGCTCCTCTTGAGGGTAAAAGGTTTCGCGATACTAACTCATATCGCATGTCCAGTGGAAAGCATAATTCAGGTCCTTTCAGATAAAGCCATAAAAATGCTAGGTCACCGCTGAAACAAAAAGTTTTCACAATTCGCTGCCGTCAGATCATGTCCCTCCAGAAAATGTCTAAAATCTGGGCCCTGTGCCATTGACCTTTGACCTGTGACCATCCCAATTTCGGCACAGTGAATGGCTTTTCGCTACCATGAATTGCTATACACCGACATCACGAGCCTTAGGTCGAGCCGTTTAGATTTGTGGCCGCAATTCTGGCATTTCCTCCCTATACCTTAAGTTAAGGAGTGGAATGTTCCCCCTCTTTTACAACCTCTTGACCCCGGCTTCCGAGCATCCCACTCGTTTTTTCGGATTACCCCCCACGTCCCGAATATTCGTGACGCGTACGTCGAGCGGTTAAAGAATTTGTGCCCAACTGTTGACGGACGGACGCATTCGGACGGACGGACATATGATGCAATTGCGATTCTACAAGCTGGGCATCTGACTATGTCAGATGAGCTAAAAACATGCAGTGAGTCCGTAAAACTTGTATAGCTGTTCCAGTTGTTAAGAAATGATATCAATTTTGAAACAAACTTCTTAGAGTTGAGAAGAAAATTTTATTTTTTATACAAAACGGATTTATTCAAATGAAATGATTAAATGAGGCTTAGGTTTGGATTCTTAGACAAAGTTCTGTGTCCATTGCATTGATTCAATGAGACCTGGAAATACATTTTGGCAATGATATATTCAGTTGCAGCTTGAATTTTTTATTTAAATATATAGTGATAATTGTACCAATGTCATTTAGTATCCAGTCATCATGAGTCACACCTGCAATAATATTATTATACATCTGAATGAAATCTGATACATAAGTGGATCTAATTGATATATAATATTATTGCAGTACTGATCATTACCATCCGCGCAACGGAGTTGCAGGGAGTAATGTAATCGGCTCTCATTGTGCTGTTCGTGTGTGGTGTGTGTAGCGGTTGCGCGATCGATTACAGCACGCAAGCTCGCCTTAAGGGCCGTCCAGAGTCCAGCAGCAGCTCGCCTTAAGGGCGTCCATTCCAGCCAGCAGCCAAGCACGAGCCAGCGTTATACACATGTACGCTCCGCGGAGGTATGCACTCTCTTTAAGTGCCCTCTGTCTAGTTAGTATGAGTGAATACCACCGAAACTCCGATGCCTTTGCATTTTTTATAAACCACATTTTTTTGCTAATGTCAAGACTCATGCAAAAGAAGATTAACTAGTCACGATGACCGTCCTGATTCATGCAAAGTATTAAGTTTACAGGTTGAAATAAAATGAATTTAAAGATGTCACTCCTACAGTATGTTTTTGGGCAGTGGCATAGTTGGGGGAGGGGGATCCATGTTGATCCGAGTTTAAAAAAAAGAATTGTTCTACTAAAAAGAGAATTGCCGTAGTCAGAATGAAGGCTGTACATGTACTCAAAGGTGCCGCAAATACCATCTCCTGCGATCTAAATTTTCAAAATTTTCTGGGGGAGGACCCCCATACACCCCACCTGTTTTTCACCCCCCCCTCCTTGGAATCCTAGACCCGCCACTGAACAATTACATATCTTGGGAGCAGAGAACAATGAAGAAAAATGTCGCCTTTCGCATGGCTCCCAAAACAAAGATTGCAGAGCTGAGAGGTAGTGAAGCCGTAGGGTGTGGAGAGGGAGGCAGAGGAGCCATTAAAATATTAAGTCATCCACCATTTTGCGCAGTTCGCTGTTTTTGGCCCCCATTGTTAAAAAATCCTGGCTACGCCACTGTTTTGGGGCGTTTTCTGATCATATTATTATGTGATTGAAAATAGGAGATTTGGGGATAATTTTTGGGACAACCAGAAATTGTTCCGGACAACCTGATTTGATGCGGACAACCACTTTTTTTTTCTTATTTCGAGCACTGAAATGTTACTCTGAAATACTAAGACATCGCGGTTAGAAACTACTACCATACCATGCTCATCATATGTGCAATTTCTAGCATCACTGCCTCCCAGTACGGCACTGGCATCTGCTTCAAGCTCTTGCTCTTCTTCCAGCACATCGACCATGGAAACAGGAACTTCTTCCTCCTCTGCTGCATCGGATGACTCTAATACTTCAGATGACTGCATGGTCATATATCTAAATTGTGAGAATTAGGAATAACAGTCATATATTGAACCACAACTAAAGTGATTTATATAGCCGTGGACAATCCAAACCCCAAAATCGCATTTACACACAGTTTAGGTGAATGTTTGAAATATGTAGTACGTAATAGATGTATTGCATACTACATATTTGTATTAAAATATGTAGTACAACTTATACGGGACTTAGCATAGGTAAATGGCTATAGTATGTAGTACATGTTTTACAGTAATTATGACTTATGCAATAATTTCATTTTTGGAAAATATAGCCTGCTTCCTGGACTGTAACCATAAGTGCCTGCATGTACACTTTCACACTGGGGCACTTCTATCTGTTGCTACAGCTGCTCGCTATAAGGAAAATAAAAAACTTGTGGAATCAGGCAAGACTCATAATAGAGTGCAGTAGACAGCATGACCAGTGCCATAGTTACTTTCTTTATTGTTGTGAAAAGAAATATCTGATTCTATAAGGCCTGTGACATATTCCATGCAAAATACAATATAGTACATTAATGGTGACTGAAGAGCAATATTAGTATAGTTTATCCTACACAGACATGAGTATGGGACCACCTGTAGGGACCAGATGGCATCCCCATCATGGCATTAAAGATGTGGGCAGAAAACGTGGCTCCAGCTCTATGTGACATCTATCAGAAGACTCTCGACACAGGCGAACTACCTCTAGACTGGAGAACAGCAAATGTCGCCAGCATCTTCAAGAAAGGTGACCATCACCTAGCGGAGAACTATCGCCCAATCATTGATGGTAGTCCCATGCAAAATCCTCGAACACATCATCAGCCACCACATGCGACAGCATCTCCAGCATCACCACATACTGACTGACCTAAACCATGGGTTCCGTTCCGGTTTTTCCTGTGAGTCACAGCTGTTGACAACAACCAATGATATACTCAGAGATTTCGACAATGGAGCTCAAATGAACATTGCTGTTCTCGACTTCAGCAAGGCATTTGACACCGTACCCCATCTACTGGCCAAAGTCAATCGGTATGGTGTCAGAAGCCCCACACACCAGTGGCTATCAAACTTTCTAATGGACAGGACTATGAGAGAAGTACTTTATGGAGTAGTAGTCAGAGGAAATACATGTGAAATCAGGAGTGCCCCAGGAAGGGTAAAAAATCCTTTTTTTTCACCAGAGCCATTTTTCTGACTTGTCACAAATTTACCAGAGCCATTTTCAGTTTCAAATTTTCGCAAAATACGTAATATAATGTACTCTTATTTTATTTGTGGGGATGGGGACATCAATGTAAATTGTATGTATTATTAATTCCATGAATGTGTCAAATTTTCTGTTAATAAATTTCCTATAATTATATTTGCATTACTACATATCACTAATCACACTTGTAACTCATGATCCAAACATCCTTTGAATCTATTCGCATTCACAATGCTGCCTCCGAGGCTGCGACACCTCTGACCTCTCCCATCTTCTAAGTTCTATCATAGTACCATACATGATACTACCATTCTGTCCACCACTCTCCTTCTCACCCTTCTCTCTCTACATGTACACATGCTTCACTAGTCACTACTTCTAGATTGCTTATTGTTTTGTTACTCTGTAATAAACATACAGAATGAACCACGTTATCTTTTCGTTTGGATGCAAATAAATGTTTTTTTTTATATAAAAATACCACTGTGCAGTTGTTTGTTGATTTTTTCAGTCTCAAAATAAGAAAGTACACGGTTAATTTGTCACAGTCTCACAGAGATGTGTGCCTGTGAGTCTGTGACATCACATCACATAGATCTGTCAGCATAGTTTATCATTGACTTTAATTCATTGTTTCAACAGACAATGTATGAATGCAATTGTAACCACATCATTGCAGATTAATACAAGGCAAGAGCTGGATTCAGCTGGTATTATTGTCAAGTTAAATTTAAATATGAATGAAAGTGTCAACAGTTTCTAGTTTGTATACACTCGGTTGTATATCAGTGCTCGAAATAAGCGTTGTCCGGTTGTCCGAGACAACCAGATTTGCGCCGGACAACCTAACCAGTCTGAGACATTGTCCGGTGGACAACCAAGAAAAATGTGACAAAAAACACACTTTATTGATATTTTTCTGACCGCGAATTGAATTTCTTTCGGCTGTCGATCGGCCTGCATTGCGTCCATAGCTAGTGTTGTTTCGCGGCTTATGGGTCAGCAATGATGCATAATATGGGTGCTTTGGACAATAAGTATGCATATCACAACAAAATTGACTGTGTGGACAAGTTTCATCGGCGAGTAAACAGGTAACTACTTATTGATCACTACAAACGCTTTTTCTGAAGAGACAAATGACTTGTTGCTGGTAGATTTGTTGTGGCAGTGATGTAATAGAATCAGCCTGAGAGGTAAACATTGACTAACTGGACCGAGTGTGTCAGCGATAATAGAGGTATTCTATAGCTAGCCATGTCAAACCATTAAAAATAAAAATAAAAACATGCAGTGACTCAGTAAAACTTGTATAGCTGTTCCAGTTGTTAAGAATGATATCAATTTTGAAACAAACTTCTTAGAGTTGAGAAGAAAATTTTATTTTTTTATACAAAACGGATTCTATCCAAATGACAATGATTAAAGGAGCTTAAGTTTGGATTCTAGACAAAGTTCTGTGTTCCATTGGCATTGATTCAATGAGACCTGGAATACATTTTGCATGATATATTCAGAATTTTTATTTAATATATAGTGATAATTGTAGCCAATGTCATTTAGTATCCAGTCATATGAGTCACACTGCAATAATATTATTATACATCTGAATGATCTGATCATAAGTGGACTAATTGATATATAATATTATTGCAGTATGACTCATTACCTCCGCGCAACGGAGTTGTAGGGAGGTAATGTAATCGCTCTCGTGTGTGTTCATGTGTGTGTGTAGCGTTGGCGCGATCGATTCAGCACCAGCTCGCCTTAGGGCGTCCAGTCAGCAGCAGCCAGCAGCGAGCCAGCTGTTATACAAATGTACGCTCGCGGAGGTATGCACTCTCTTTGAGTGCCCTCTGTCTAGTTAAGTATGAGTGAATACCCTGAAACCCGATGCCTTGCATTTTTATAAACCACATTTTTTTGCTAATGTCAAGACTCATGCAAAAGAAGATTAACTAGTCACGATGACCGTCCTGATTCATGCAAAGTATTAAGTTCACAGGTTGAAATAAAATAAATTTAAAGATATCACTCCTACAGTATGTTTTTGGACAGTGGCGTAGTTGGGGGAGGGGGATCCATGTTGATCCGAGTTTAAAAAAAAGAATTGTTCTACTAAAAAGAGAATTGTCGTAGTCAGAATGAAGGCTGTACATGTACTCAAAGGTGCTGCAAATACCATCTCCTGCGATCTAAATTTTCAAAATTTTCTGGGGGAGGACCCCCATACACCCCCGCCTGTTTTTCACCCCCCCTCCTTGGAATCCTAGACCCGCCACTGAACAATTACATATCTTGGGAGCAGAGAACAATGAAGAAAAATGTCGCCTTTCGCATGGCTCCCAAAACAAAGATTGCAGAGCTGAGAGGTAGAGAAGCCGTAGGGTGTGGAGAGGGAGGCAGAGGAGCCATTAAAATATTAAGTCATCCACCATTTTGCGCAGTTCGCTGTTTTTGGCCCCCATTGTTAAAAAATCCTGGCTACGGCACTGTTTTGGGGCATTTTCTGATCATATTATTATCCGATTGAAAATAGGAGATTTGGGGATAATTTTTGGGACAACCAGAAATTGTTGCGGACAACCTGATTTGATGCGGACAACCACATTTTTTTCTTATTTCGAGCACTGAAATGTTACTCTGAAATACTAAGACATCGCGGTTAGAAACTACTACCATACCATGCTCATCATATGTGCAATTTCTAGCATCACTGCCTCCCAGTACGGCACTGGCATCTGCTTCAAGCTCTTGCTCTTCTTCCAGCACATCGACCATGGAAACAGGGACTTCTTCCTCCTCTGCTGCATCGGATGACTCTAATACTTCAGATGACTGCATGGTCATATATCTAAATTGTGAGAATTAGGAATAATAGTCATATATTGAACCACAACTCAAGTGATTTATATAGCCGTGGACAATCCAAACCCCAAAATCGCATTTACACACAGTTTAGGTGAATGTTTGAAATATGTAGTACGTAATAGATGTATTGCATACTACATATTTGTATTAAAATATGTAGTACAACTTATATGGGACTTAGCATAGGTAAATGGCTATAGTATGTAGTACATGTTTTACAGTAATTATGACTTATGCAATAATTTCATTTTTGGAAAATATAGCCTGCTTCCTGGACTGTAACCATAAGTGCCTGCATGTACACTTTCACACTGGGGCACTTCTATCTGTTGCTACAGCTGCTCGCTATAAGGAAAATAAAAAACTTGTGGAATCAGGCAAGACTCATAATAGAGTGCAGTAGACAGCATGACCAGTGCCATAGTTACTTTCTTTATTGTTGTGAAAAGAAATATCTGATTCTATAAGGCCTGTGACATATTCCATGCAAAATACAATATAGTACATTAATGGTGACTGAAGAGCAATATTAGTATAGTTTATCCTACACAGACATGAGTATGGGACCACCTGTAGGGCCCAGATGGCATCCCCATCATGGCGTTAAAGATGTGGGCAGAAAACGTGGCTCCAGCTCTATGTAACATCTATCAGAAGACTCTCGACACAGGCGAACTACCTCTAGACTGGAGAACAGCAAATGTCGCCAGCATCTTCAAGAAAGGTGACCATCACCTAGCGAAGAACTATCGCCCAATCATTGATGTCAGTCCCATGCAAAAATCCTCGAACACATCATCAGCCACCACATGCGACAGCATCTCCAGCATCTCCAGCATCACCACATACTGACTGACCACAGCAAACCAAGCGTATTGCATATCTCAGCCTAGTGCGACCCATAATGGAGTATGGTG